ATGGGAAAACATATTTGCCAATGATACCTCACACAAGGGTTTGATCTCCAAAATATATAAAGAATTCACATGACTCCACTCCAGGAAGACAAACAACCCAATTCAAAAATGGGCAAAGTACTTGAACAGACACTTCTCCAAGGAGGACATACAGAAGGCCCAGAGACATATGAAAGGACACCCAACATCACTAGCCGTCAGAGAGATGCAAATTAAAACCACAATGAGGTACCATTTTATACCAGTGAGAATGGCCATCATAAACACATCAGCAAACAACAAATGCTGGAGTGGTTGTGGAGAAAAGGGAACTCTAGTGCACTGTTGGTGGGAATGCAGACTGGTACAGCCACTGTGAAAAACAGTATGGAATTTCCTCAGAAAACTAAAAATGGACTTGCCTTTTGACCTGGCAATTTCAGTGCTGGGATTATACCCTAAGAACCTTGAAACACCAATCCAAAAGAACCTATGTACCCCAATGTTCACAGCAGCATTATTTACAATAGTCAAATGCTGGAAGCAACCCAAGTGCCCATCAGAAAATGAATGGATAAAAAAACTATGGTACATTTACATGATGGAATATTATGCAGTAGAAAGAAAGAAAGGTGTTCCTACCCTTCAAGACAGCATAGATGGAACTGGAGAGCATTATGTTAAAGGAAATAAGCCAGACAGTGAAAGACAAATACAGTATGATCTCACCTATAAGTGGAACCTAATCAACAAAACAAAGAAGCAAGCAAAATATAACCAGAGACATTGGAATAAAGAGCAAACTGACAGTAACCAGAGGGGGTGGGGTGGGAGGGAATAATGTGGGGAAACGGGAAAAGGGTTTTCAGGAACAGCTATAAAGGACACAAGGACAAAACCAAAGGGAGGTAGGATCAAGAGTGGGAAGTGGAGATGGCTGTGGTATGGGGTGAGTGGTAGGCAGAAAATGGAGACAACCGTATTTGAACAATAAAAAAACAAAGTAAGAAAATTTATAGGGACACCATCGTATATGTGGTTGATCATTGAAATGTTATGTGGTGCATAACAATAGTAGTACTTATTCCTGATTGTTTTGGGTACTGAATTATATGTAATGACCTAAATTGTTGTGTTGCTTAAATGAGATCATGCAGTAAAATATTTCATACACACACACACACACACACACACACACACACAAAAATCTAGCAGCTAACATTTATTGAATACTTAATATATGGCAGTCCTTTTTTTAAGTGCTTCATATGGATTATCTCATTTATTTATTTATTTATTTTTAGAGTATTTTATTTATTATTTTTAGAGTGAGGGGAAGGGTGGGAGAAAGGGAGAGAAACATCAATGCATGGTTGCCTTTCACACATCTCCCACTGAGGACCTGGCCCACAACCTAGGTATGTGCCCTGACTGGGAATTGAACCAGCAACCTTTTGATTCACAGGCCAGTGCTCAATCCACTGAGCCACAGGAGTTGGGGCTGGATTATCTCATTTAATGTTCACTATATTTTGAGGCGGTAGTTTTATTAGCCCCCTTTTAGAGATGAAGGTTGAGTAACTTATAGTGATAGTTGGTGTAATCAGAATCTGAAACCTGTTTTATTTGTCTAAAGATCTGAGGTACTTAATCACTCTATCATACTACCTGCCTAGAAAATTTGTCCTCCTTCTGCATTAGGTCCTATCCATACTACTTTTACTGAAGTCACAAGACAGAGCTGAGACTACTCTTATGTCTTGTGTTGCTGGGTCTGCCAAGTCTGCAAGGGAATAATGTAATGATAAGCTCCCTCCTTAAATTCAAATTGTGTGAATATTTTACCCTTTCAGCTCAGCCATGAACTACATGCTTACCATCAATTCATATTTTTGTTAATAGAAATGAGACTGATGGAAATAAACAAAAGGTGTTGTTTAAAAATCTTTATTGAAAAATAATTCATATATATCACACAGTTCATCCATTTAAAGTGTACAATTCAATGATCATGGCACATTCAGAGTTGGGCAACCATGATGACAATCTAATTTTAATATTTTCATCACCCCCAAAAGAAACCCCATGACCATTAGTAGTAACATCTCGTTCCTTTCAGCCCTCTAGCCCTTGGAAACCATTAACATGCTTTTTGCCTCTATAGATTTGCCTATTCTCAACATTTCACATGAATGGAAGAGATATGTAATATTTTATGACTGGTTTCTTTCACTTAGCATTGTGTTTTCAAGATTCATTCTTGTAGCATATATCAGTACTTTTTATGGCTGAATAATATCCCATGTACATATATACAAAGTTTGTTTATCCATTCCTCATTTGATAAACATTTAGATTGTTTCCACATTTTGGGTATTATGAATAAGGTTGCTTTGAACATTTGTGTACATGTTTTTTTAACCCATTTTCCATTCTCTTAGTTATGTATGCCTGAGAGTAGAATTGCTAGGTTATGTGAAAACTATGTTTAACATTTTAAGGAACTACCAAATTGTTTTTCAAATGGCCACATAATTTGACTTTCCTACCAGCACTGTATGAGTGTTTCAATTTCTCCACGTCCTTAACAACACTTGTTATTATTTGTCTTTTTTATTATAGCTATGGTAGTGAGTGTAAGGTAGGATCTCATTGTAGTTTTGATTTGTATTTTTTAAATGTTGAGCATCATTCAGGGTGCATATTGTTCTAAATAAAGGCCCAATATTAGATATATGATATATAAATATTTCCCCAATTATGTAGATTGTTTTCACTTTCTTGGTGGTATTGTTTGCAGTATAAAAGTTTTGAATTTCAGTGTACTTCAATTTATATTTTCTTTTGTCACTTGTACTTTTGGAGTTCTAAATAATTTCTGTCTAAGCCAATGTCAGGAAGATTTGCTACTATGTTTTCTTCTAAGAGTTTTGTGATATTAAATTTTACATTTAGGTTTATAATCCATTTCAAGTTAATTTATTCATGTGGTATAAAAACAGTTCCAACTTCATTTATTTTCATGTGAATCCTCAGTTGTTCCCACATTATTTATTGAAATGCTATTATTTTTCCATTTTATGGTTTTGGAACACTTATCAAACATTATCTGACCATCAATGTAAGGGCTTCTTTCTTTTTTAATTTCTAAGGTTTTATTTTATTTATTTTTGGAGAGAGTGGAAGGGAGGGAGAGAGGGAAAAGTCAATGTGTGGTTGCTTCTCACATGGCCCTCACTGGTGACCTGGCTCACAACCCACACATGTACCCTGCCTGGGAATCGAACCAGCGACCATTTTGTCCATAGCCCGTACTCAGTCCACTGAGCTACACCAGCCAGGGCTCCCTTTATTTTTTAGTATTTTTTTCATTACCATTTATCCTCCTCATATTCCCCTCCACTCTTCAATCATCGCACTGTTATCTAAGTCCATGAGTTCTTTTTCATTTTTGCTCAATCTCTCCACTCCCTAATGTCCCCCCAAAGGGTTTATTTCTGTACTCTCAATACTGTTCCACTTATTTATGTATCTGTCCTTGTGCTTGTAATACAATGTCTTGATTACTTTAGTTTTGTAGCAAGTTTTGAATTCGAGAAGTGTTTTGGAGATTCTTCCCATCCATAAACATGGAGTATCTTTACACTTATTTAAATTTTTTTAAATTTTCTTTCAATGTTTTGTAGTTTTCAGTGTACTTGCACTTCATTTGTTCATTGTATTCCTAAGTGCTTTATTAAGTTGACACTATTGTCAATCGAATCGTTTTATTTTTTTTTCAGATTGTTCATTGCTAATATATGGAAACACAAGTGATTTTATGTATCAACCATTTATCATGCAACCTTGCTAAACTCATTTAGGTGGGCAGTATGAGAAGAGCAAGAATATGTCTAGGATGTGGAAGGATGAATTGAGTAAATCAGGACTAGAATAATATGTAGTTATGTGTACTGAGCATGCTTGTGACAGGTTAGTGCTTCTCAACCTTTAATATGCATATGAATCTCCTGGGAATGTACTAATTAAAATGCAGACTTTTGTCAGTGGGTTTGGGTGGAGCCTGGGATTCTGTCTTTGTAACAACTTCTTAGTAGATAGCTGGTAGCTTTCATTTATTATTTTAAAGCCACAATAACCCTGCAAAATATATATTATTGTTCCCATTTATAGATAAAAAAATGAACTCAGAAGTTGAGTAAGATGGAGAATAGGATGACAGCTTGTAGTGGGGGTTAGGGAGTGGACGGATTGAGCAAAAAAGAAAAAGGACTCATGTATACAGACAACAGTGTGGTGATAGCTAGGGAGGGAGGGTGGTACAAGGGGACTAAAAGGTAATGGCAAAAAATACAATAAATATCAAAAAGACTTAAAAAAGAAAAAAGTTGAATAAATAATCAGTTCATAGACTAAGTGGCAGAACCAGGATTTGATTGAACACAGATTGTTCTAATGCCAAAGCTAGGTTCTTTCTATTCTACCATGCTGCATATCTAAAACAGGAGATCAGTTGGGATATGAAAAATGTATATATCAGGGAAAAAATTAAGCTTTTCAGGGTCAGGGGAGCTTCCTGGAGTGCATTTGGGTCTAAACCTTGAGGCTATCTTGAAGAACTGGCCAGTGAAGACTTTGCTGTACAGGTTGCTAACAGTGAAGTTGTGAGACTGGAATGTAAAGCAGAAGAAAGATGATACTAGTAGACAGAAGTCAATTGGAGGAAGTCTAGAAAGTGGCTCACTTCTGATCAGAACAGACTTCAGAACTGGACCCTATACTGCTGAGGTCTACGTTTGAGGTTACAACTACTGTTGGCTCCTCCAGAATTCCAGTTTATTTTACTGGGGATAATGAATGATATAAAATCAGTGCTATCCCTGAGGATCCAGGTTAAGGGGTTAGAAATGTGATCAAGGTTCTGGTCATATGGTTACCTATGAAAAACTATAAATAGGTGACAAAACTCCTTTCCATTATCTTTCAACAGGGTATTAGGGGATTTCCATTACCTCAGTCAAGACACATGAGATTTTTTTTGTCCTTAGCACCTTTTATTGAAGTATGACCCTTGATGACAATCTGACAGGCATACCAATGCCAGCCAAGGAGGGAGTGGTGGAGGACACAAATGCAGAAACAATAAGACTCAGACAAATAATAGCTTCACATGGGATAGATGACCCCCAACAGTTGTACAACAAACACTGGTTCTTTATCTATAGAAATTGCCCCCTGCCCCACCCCCCTCTAAAGATCTACTAATCTTCAAAGAATATAATATGCTGTTTCAGAAATATTATTGGCATAGATAACTCCTTTGGCAAACACAGTGGGAATCACCAAGCTCCAGACAAAAGGAAGTGGCCAGAAGTGTGCCCAACTTCCTTCATCTGAAACCTGCTACTGGCAGAGCAGCACCTTTAGGGAGGCTGGGATTAAAGTTGTGGCTCTAGTGTCCCTTGACAGCTTTTTGGCACATGAGGTTAAATAGAAAACAGAACCTAAAACTGGCCTTGGAGGAGGCTTTTCATCTTTTCACCCTCTGTTCCTCTGCTTCCAGTCTCTCCCTTGTGAGGACTTTATTTTCAGTGTCTCTGTCTCCTTCTCTTGGATTCCCATTGAGCATGTATTGCTATATCCTGGCCAAGTCTGAAGCCAGTTAGGATTCAGGAAGACTCAATTACCTAGGCCCCTGGGAGTGGGGAGTTAGAAGGGACATGTTATAATAGCTCTTTCTCTATATATATCAACCACTGTACTTACCTATTACTCACTGGGGCCTGAATGAGTGTGTGAAGGGAGAGGGCAGAAGTCAAGACCAATAGCTATCTTTGTGGAAATCCCTTGGCCTGCCTTCCAAACTGCTACCCCCTGGCAGGCATTTGTGGAAGGCAGAGCCCGGGAAATGAGAATGGATTTACAATGAGATGACAATTCATCTCAAGTAACAGTGACAGCTTTGCAACACTATCATTCACAGTGGGACTATGCCAGCAGTGCTGGGCATCAGTGCCTACTAAGTAGTTCTCCTCTGTCTGCCTAACTTGAGCAGTGAAGTAAAACCTGCAATACAACTGAGCAGTGAAGTTAGGGTTATTTTATTAAGATCTTTGGAGACTGTCCTACCATGTACAAATGAGTGTCCTTGTGTTCTGATTCCAATTCTAAAATAATTTGAGGTGGGATGAGGGACAAAAATAACAGAGTCAATAGTACTTTTAGTGTGATTAAATTTAAGGTACAATCACTCAATTGCTCACTTGAAAAACTCAGACTATGGTCACAGGTGGGTGACCACTCTTTTCCCTGGGCCTATATTTCCAAAAAGCTGTTCTAGCCATGTACACACACACACACACACACACACACACACACACATACCTTATAATCATGGACTACATCAGCTCTATCCCCTCAATACAGGACATCTAAACTTGCTCATTGTTTGTCTTAGAGCCTTTTTTTTTAAGATGGCAGCCACAGCCTATATTCAAAGCACCCCCGCACCTTCCTCTACCTTGGCTTTGTAAGCCTACCCCTTTATAAGCCATCAGCCTTCCTGAATGAAGTAAAATTCTCCACTTGGGGGGAGAATGGCAGGTTGACATTTTAACTGTTATGACAGCAGCAGTGTACTAACAGCATACCTAGCCCCTGCCCCCACCTCAGGATACCCTGCTGGCCAAGATTCTTCCATTGTTTTCAAATACAATGAGAAGGAAAAGGAAGTTAGGAGCCAGTATTTGTAGCAATAACAAAGTTCCTTAGCAAATTCTTTTAGTTAAATGAGGTACTCCCGCTGCTACAGTTAACCTCCAAGGACAGGTACTAAGCACTCAGAATAACTCAGCACTAACTACAATAAATGCCAGGGCTTGCTGGGCAGAGCTGTGCAATACCAAGCGTGGGCTCGTTAGCAAGGAATAGGGAACTGAGCTGTATAACACGCAGAGTTTGGCTATAACTCCCTTCCTGCCATTGCCAAACTGAGGGCTTTTCCAGGATAGAAACTGGCTCCCTGTGTCAGGGTCTAGGCAACAGCAGCAGTATCAGTTGTTTGTCTGCCTCAGATCCTGGCTGGATCACATTTTACTCTGAGGGACTGGCCCTGGCTGGAGTTTTCAGCTACCGTGAATTTGGGTTCCCTGAGCCAGGACATAGGCTGAGAAAGCAATTAGATAGAGGAACTCCTCCTGAGCTTACCTCTTCCCTTTCCTTAGCTTTGAGACTGTAGAGAAATAGGTGGATCTTTGTCAGTTTCAGATTTCTTTGGTTTCAAAAAATAAGTAAGATAAAATTGAAACCTATTGGGGAACTCTAAGCTCATGGTTATCCATACTTCAAAGGAAGTATAGAGCCAGGTCACAATGAGGAAGCTGAGTTCAAGGTAAAAACTTCTTTCTTAGACACTTGTTAGCTATGGTGAGAATAATTCAAGGCTTTGGTACCCGCTTACCTAGCTATGGTGAATTCAGGCATATCTGCAGAAAATATTTTCTTCCTAGGCTAACTTTTCACTTTCTAACACCACTCTTTTCATTTTGTTAGTTAAAAAAAAAAAGAGAAAAAAACACAATAAAACATAAAAATAAATAAAACCAAAAGGCCATTTAAAATATAACAATTAAGAACCCCTTCCCCCCAATAATGAAACTTGTATGCAGAAGTCAGCTTTAGCAGAGCTATTTATGGCCCATAGTGTGAAGCCCTTAGGGTAGGCATGTGTAACCCCTAGCAACAAAAGACAAGATTAAACAGGAAGTGGTAGACCCAAAGTCTTAGGACAAAAGGAGGCCACACTAGCTAGGGCTGAGAAGTAGGCCTCTTCCCCCTCATGTAGATGTTGGAGAAGGTGGGGATGGAACCAATTTCTTTAAGCCTAGCTCCTCTCAACAGGGCATCTAGGAATCTCAAACCTTTGCTCATATTCTGTTAAGTGCAATTTCTCCTCTACTTCACAATGAAAATCTTGAGTGAGGCCTTGAAATTTCAGTAGGTGAATGCCCTCAAGATAGCCAGATCTCTGTGGGAAATGGCTGGGCCATGAACGCTGGGGCAGAGTGGAGCCACATACACACTTTCTTTCTGAGCCTTCAGAGGCTGATCATGGTGTGGGTGGGTGATGAGTACATGATGTCTCTGATGCCCTAGTGCAAAGAAGAATGAAGGCACTTTGTTGGTTCTGTATGTGGTGAGTGCTTGCTGTGCAAACTGTGGGAAAGAGAGAGTGGTTGTATAATCACACTCTGCTACAGCTTCTACTTCTTGCTTCTACACTGTAGGGTAGAAGCTTAGGTCCCCCCTAGTCTCTTAGCTGGTTGGGTGTACTGCTAGATACGAGGCAGTGAGAGACATTCAGGCTAGAGGATATGGAACAAACTGCTAACTAACTGCTATCTATTTGCTAACAAACTGCTAACAAAGAAAGCATTTCCTATTGTGGCTGGGCGGGGATGGTGTGGGCAGTCTGCTGGTAGAATTAGAAATTGCTGGGCCCCAGGAGTAGGCTTTCCCTGAGACATTTGAGCTGCTCTTCCCCGAGCTTGATCTTTTCTTCCAGCTCTCGCTGTTCAATGATAAGAGCAGATTTCATCTTCACAAAGTGCTGGTAATCTTGCAGCTGGTCCTGAGGCAGGTAGCGGGAGACCATGCCAAACACCAACTTCTCCCGTCGATCCACATGCTCTTTCAGCTCCTTGGCATCTGCCAACTGCCCTGTCAGCTGCTGCTTCTTCTCTATCAGCACCAACTGGGGAAGCATAAGACCAATTAAAGGCCATTCCAATTACCAGTCATCTGTCTAACTCAGTGGTCCAATGGAGGTGCTGCCACAAAGCAACTACCCATTCTACTAACTGATTAGTCCTGGATTTTCTATCCTGAAGTTTATTTTTATGCAATAGCCTTTCTTTCCTGTAGCAGGGAGAGGGTTACACAACAATGATTCTGGACAGGGGAATGTATAATACCTTTTTCCATCTCTAAGCTGCTTTTAATCAGTGGATCACCACTGATGTAGGGGTTGGGGAAGGCTCTGACAAAGCCAGTTCAGACCCCTTCTATCTTGTGAATAACCATCACTGTGGCAATGCATTCAAAACGATATGTGTTTCTGCATGGGTATATGGATGTGTGTCTATGTAGCCAGGTGTAGGCACATGCATTTGTGCCTCTTATTGTGGCTTCAAACTTGTTTGCAAAACCATTTGCATTCAAGCTGTGGAACTAACAGCCTCCCAATCACAAGTACTTGGTGAGACCTCTCCCTCCAATTAAATTGGGGAGGTGGGACATGGGAGACAGAGGAGTGTAGAAATTGCTGCTGCAGCTACTATTTCTACTACTATTGGCAGCTAGCACTGATTCAGTGTTTACTCAGTTTTGGGCTGTGTTTTAAGACATTAAAATGATTACATAATTTAATTCTGAAAGCCTATGTGGTAGGTAGTGTGTTCACTCCATTTTTAAGGGATTGAAATGGAGTGAGGTTAAGTTGCCCAGAGTCACATCGCTAATTAGTGATAGAGCCAGAATTTCAAGGCACTTAAAAGCCAGTGCTCACACTCAACACTAGACTACTACCTCCCAGACTAACCAAACTTGAAAGAGGAAGACCTGAGAAGAAACAGATGGCATTTCCCTCTATCCACACCCCTGAGACTACAACTTTACCTTCTCCTGATCAGCCTCTGAATCAATGCTGTTGAGAGCATTTTCCACCCGTGCCAGTCGTCCAGAGAGTGACAGCAACAGGCTGACCACTTTGTCCAGGTCCCCAATAAACAAACGGTATTTTTCAAACTCATTGGACTTGCAGACAGCTTTTAGGTTAGCCTCCACCTCTTCCCCAAGGGCAGAATTAGCATTGATATCCTCCAGCAATCCTCGCTGGGCCTCCCGCAGGACAGAAAGTTTTCTGCCAATGCTTTCAATAAGCTGTATCTAGGAGAAACAAAGAGAAAGAGGCAAAGGATGAGAATGGGGACTGACAGAAACTGGTCTGTTCTTGTAACCTCTGTTTTGTTTTGTTTTTTTGATTCAAGTAACAGATGGTGGGCTTCACCCTAGTCACTGGAAATAAAAGAAACCTGAGCAAGTCACAAGCAATTCTAATTTTCAGGACAGGTACCTTGTCTCTCATCTCTTAGAATCTGGGAAGAATCTCTGTCAACACCGAACTTCTTGGCATTAGATAATGGTATCCATGGGCTAATACAAAATGTAACTTAATAAAGAGTTGCTGAAAAAAAAATGAAACTAGACCACCTTGTTACACCATGGACAAGAATACATTTAAAATGGAATAAAGACTTAAATGTAAGACTCAAAAACTATAAAAATCCTAGAAGAAAACATAGGCAGTAAAATCTTGGACTTTTTCATGGCAATATTTTTTTTGATATAGCTCCTCAGGCAAAAGGAACAAAAGAAAAAATAAAACACATGGGATTACCTGACACTAAAAAAGTTTTTGCACAGCAAAGGAAAACATAAACAAAATGAAAAGACAACTCACAAAATGGGAGAATATATTCACCAATGAGATATCTGATATGGGCTTAAAATCCAAAATTTATAAAGAACTCAGACAACTCAACACCAAAAACACAAACAACCCAATTTAAAAATGGGCAAAGGACTTTAATAGATACTTCTCCAAAGAGGACATACAGATGGCCAATACACATGTGAAAAGATGATCAACCTCACTAATCATGAAAAATGAAATTAAAACCACAATGATATATCACCTCACTGATCAGAATGACTACCATCAATAAATCAACAAACAAGTGTAGGTGAGGATGTGGACAAAAGGGAACCCTTTGCACTGTTTGTGGGAATACAGACCGGTGCATTCCCAGGTGCATTGTGGAAAACACTATGGAGTTTCCTCAAAAAATTAAAAATGGAACTGCCCTTTGATCCAGCAATTACACTTGTGGAAATATATTCAAAGAAACCTGAATATATGCACCCCTATGTTCATTGCAGTGTTGTTGACAATATATAGCCAAGATTTTTTAGTAGCACAAGTGTCCAATAGTAGATGAATGGGTAAGAAAGCTGTGGTATATTTACATAATGGAATATAACTTGGATGTAAAAAAGAAGGAAATCTTACCTTTTGCAATAGCATGGATGGAGCTAAGAGAGTTATTATGCTAAGTGAAATAAGCCAGTCAGAAAAAGACAAATACCATATGATTTCACTTATATGTGAAATCTAATGAATGAATTAAGCTAACAAACAAAATAGAAACAGACTCATAGATACATAGAATAGTCTGACAGTTGTCCGATTATATAGGGATTGGGCGCTGGGTGAAAAAGTGAACGGATTAAGCAAAAAGGAAAAAAAAGGAAAAAAAGAAAAAGAAAAATACCTCAAAGACACAGAAAACAGTATGGTAATTACCAGAGGGAAAGAGGGGTGGTGGGTAATGGGAGAGGTAGAAGACAGTAAAGAGAAGCTAAATGGTGACAAAAGGAGACTTGACTTGGGGTGGTGAACACCCAGTAAAATATACAGATGATGTACCATAGAATTGTACACCTGAAACCTATATCATTTTATCAACCAATGTCACCCTCATAAATTAAATAAATAAATACTTGCTGAGACTGTTTAATAAACAGAACTTGAATGCTTGTAAGAACACAGCTTGAAAAACCATCATCATCAATTATTTGCCTATTTCTTCATTCATTTTTCTTCTGTCCCCTTAAGTACCTCCCATGTTCATGGCATTATGGTAGATCTTCACCCCTTCAGCTTAGTTTTTGAGGCCTTTTGGATAATAGTCTGAGTTCCAGAGTTTTAATGACTATGTTTGACTTAGAGTTCTGCAACTTCCTAGCTGTGTGACCTTAGGTGAATTTTGTTATGGAGTTTTACTTTATCTGCAGAATGGGGACAATTGCAGTACCTTCTCCACTGAATTATAATAAGGGTTCAATGATAAAATTAATGCAAAGGGTTTAACATAGACTAAGTACTCAGTAACAATGGGCTGCTATTATTATTATTCAGTTTGGTCCCGCTCTACCATTCTAATCTTACTTCTCAGAACCTTTCAGGATTAGTTCCTCACTCTTCTCTGAGTTCACAACACTCATTCTTATGTTCCTGGTTTGCTTATGTACCTCTACCTGATCTTTCACTTTGGCTAGTCCCATTCTTTCTCCTGAGCCAAGCTTTGCCTCTACCCTCCCTGCTGAAAGCCCCTACCCTCATAACTCTTCTCTCAATAATCTTTTTATTTTCTGAACTCTCCAATTTCTTAGAATTAGAAGCCTATAGTTTAATTTGAAGTTGTTCACTTTCTGTTTCATGTATGTGCACCTGATCCCTCTCCTACTATTGATGAAACTATGTAAGTTTCTCAAGGGCAGTAGTGCCTGTGTCTTCTGATTTGACTCCCCTATATGTGTAACCAGTTCTGGGACTGCATTCACGGGAAGGAAGGTAGTGTGGTTGAATGGAGTTTTGGAGTCAGGGATGCCTGGAATCCAATTCCACCTCCTCAAAACTGTGTAACCTTGGATGAGATACCCAGTCCCGCTGAAACTTCTGTTTTCTCATCTGTAAACTGGAGAAGTGCCTCCTCTCCTCCTGCTCTCTGTTCTTGTGTGGATGAAATGAAATCATAGAGGTAAAATACTTAGTAATGCCTAGCACATTAAGCATTTAATACATGTTTACTGATGCAGCAGCTGCTACTGTTGTTGTTACTATTATCACCTGGGTATTACTACTACTATTATCTGGGTTTGAACCCCAGCTCTGCCACTAAGTAGTGAAGTGACCTTGAGCAAATAACCTTTCTGCGCCTCAATTTCCCCATCTAAAAATAGGTAAGAATAGGTACCAATAGTACCTACCTCATAATATTGTTATAAGAATTAAATGATTCTACTGCTGGGATTATACCCTAAGAATCCAGAAACAACAATTCAAAAGAATCTATGTACCCCAATGTTCATGGTAGCCTTATTTACAATAGCCAAGTGCTGGAAACAGCCTAAGTGCCCATCAGTAAATGAGTGAATCAAAAAATGTGGTACATTTACACAATAGAATACTACACAGCAGAAAGAAAGAAGGGACTCCTACCCTTTGTGACAACATGGATGGACCTGGAGAGCATTAAGCTAACTGAAATAAGCCAGGCAGTAAAAGACAAATATCACATAATCTCACCTATAAGTGGAACCTAATCAAGAAAACAAACAAGTGAGCAAAATAGAACCAGAGACATGGAAACAAAGAACAGACTGACAGCAACCAGAGGGGGGAAGAATAAGGGGAGAAAGAAGGGCAAGAGTCTAGTCAAGGAACATGTATAAGGGACCCATGGACATGGACAACAGGGTGGGGATTGACTATGGGAGCTCTGAGTGGGGGGTGGGCAGGTCAGAGGAGAGTAATGGGGAAAAATTGAACAACTGTAATTGAACGATAATAAAAAATTAAATGAGTAAATACATGTCATGTGCTTAGATTAATATTTTGTATATAAGATATATGCTTCAATGTTTGTTTTATTATTACTCCTGCCCTGGCACTCTGGACCATTGGCTTGTAGTTTTCTAGAGTGTGTTCCTTTCTAGTACTTTATTTAGAAATACCTGAAGTGACCAAGACCAAAAGAACCTGTTCTAAGTTCAGAATCTCTTGTCATATTTCAGAACTTTTCAATGTTTAGGAGATCACCATGATTTTAGTATGAAGTATAATAGGTTTATAGTTAGAAAAATTCCAAAACCCACCGGGAAGGAGGGATCAATGATATTAATGCAGCAATACAATTAGATGCCAAGAGGCTCCCAGTTATATCCTTACCTTCTCCTTTCCCAAATAAAATGCAATGCCAGGAACACGGGAGGGCTGGCAGCCAAATGATCAACCTGGAAAATCACCTACCCGCCCCAGCTCTTAGGTTCCATAGATCTGCCAGGATGAAAGTGAAGACACCCCTTTGTTTGTTGGCACTTGGTCTCTGCAACCTGAACTTCAATCCTGAAGAAAGTGTAGTGGGTAGAGCTGTGGAGTCATTGCAGACCCAGGTAGGACTGAGCTGCTTTTCTGGTATATTATAAATCAGCATCATTCCACACCTATTTTCCTCAGAGACAAAAACTGTTCCAGCCCATCCATAATCACTTCAGATCACTGTCCACTGTTCTGTGCTTTGCTATTTCTAATCATTTCTCTCTTTTTCTGGTCAGATTTTAGTAGGTTTGCTCATAATAAAAGGTTCCTGAGTAAGGCAGGAACAGCCATGCCATCATCAGGGAACATAAAATCCAAGGAAGCAAGCATTGGATCAATAAAATTGATACCACCACACTTCCAATTTTTTCCCTGACATTTTGTTCCAGATTAAAAAGTGGTGGTAGGGTCTCTTGCAAATGGCCTTGAGTTTTCCTACAGGTCATATTCTGAATGGGAAACATGGGCAGATGAGTAATTTACATTGAATTCAGATGTTCACAAAGTGGTAAATTAGCCTTTCAGGTTGCTATGAAAACCCAGTTGTTTATGAAATAAAATGGGTAACGACAGGAAGGGCAAAGTGATTGCAGGAATCTGATTAGACAACCAGGATAGTGGTACTTAGAGGAAGAAAGGGGATTCTTGGAACAACATTTCCATTTATCTACTTAATATTTTAAGAGATTACTGACTATATTTGCAAATAAATACTAAAGTTCACCAGCTTATAATTTTTCCTTTTCTTTCTTAGTCAGTCTGTCCTCTCTCCTAGAAAGTTACATAGAGAATACGATCAATGATTGCCATTGGTTAGAGCTCAACTGGAAAAAACTCTGATGTGCCATGGGCAGTGAATTTCTTAACAAGGCTGGCTTATTTTGGAGGGACAGCCCAACAGAAAGTCAGACACTCTTGACTTCAAGTCTTGAGTCTACCACCTAGTCTATAACCCTGGACAACTTAGTCCTCTCAACTGGTAAAAAAGGGATAGTAATGTCTACCTTATAGAGTTGCTATAATGACTAGAGAGACACTGCAGTGATGGCTATGATTACTACTACCATAATTACTATTACTGACCAGATCAAAAAGAGACTGGAGCCCTGGCTGGTGTGGCTCAGTGGATTGAGCACAGGCCTGCCAACCAAGGTGTCGCCAGTTCGATTCCCAGTCAGGGTGTGTGCCTGGGTTGCAGGCAAGGTCCCTAGAACAGAGTACAACCACACATTGATGTTTCTCTCCCTCTCTTTCTCCTTCCCTTCTCCTCTCTCTAAAAATAAATAAATAAAATCTAAAAAAAAAGAGAGACTGGAGTTGTATTTATGAGAAGCCCAGAGAGGCTTTTTGATTGCCATTCCTGTAGTTTATAGGAATGTACCAAGATGTTCTAAAGAACCTAGAGGTCAGGGCAAGCTCTAGACATACTCAAGCTAAATACTGAAAAATCTCTAAGGTATTTTTAAAAAAAAATTTACCTTTTTTTGAGCCAGTTCATGGTCCACTTCCTCCTCTCCTAGGCCAATATCTGCCATCTCAGGTTGGTCTTTCAACTTGTTTAACAGCTCTGCCTTGGCCACAGAAATATTGTAATAAGCTGAGTAAGAGGTAGGGATCCCTGGGCCCCCATGAGGAGGTGGGAGGTGCTGAAATTCTTGTCTGTGGGAACAAAGAATAACCATTTGAACACCTCTGTTGAGAGGCTGCTGACCTTTCTTGTTCTCAGTTTCCCTATTTGTAATACATTGGGGCCCTGACTCACCAAGGAGTTGTAAAATAAGGAAATGATGGACCAGGAAGCAGGTTCAAATATAAACAAACAACATAAAAGCTACCTAAAAGCCAAGTCAAGGCCAATTTTAAGAATTTAAAAGGCAATTTCCTTGCCCCTGACTTCTGCAGCTACAGGAATTTCTTTAGAGATCATTTGGTTTGGTCATTGACATCCCACTAAAATCCAGAAAAGCTGACAGGACCCTAAAGTTCTGGGCTTATTATCATCAATTACCTGCCTTAGTTCATGGCACTGGAATATGGATCCTAAGGGAGGGGCTAGGTGGTAGGGTTGTATCTGACACCTCAGCTATCTGTCCTCTTAAGCCTGTTGGCTTCCCAACTATCTTCCTGGATCCTGCCCACTCCAGCTCTATTTAGTCTGCTTGCTTGCAAAAAACACCTCCTGGCTTTCCTGAACACTGGTCATTTCTTCTTTCCCAGCAATGTTAACTCCTGCTTAAAATGGTCCCTCCACTGCAGATCTTCCACAGCAAAGAGGTCACCCATGACCTTATCAGGTAGTCACCATGTTGGAGGCTGGGGTTAGCAACCCTGCCAGGGACTTGTCACAGCCCACCACATCTCTCATGAGCTTTCTTGAGACTGCCTGGTTTCTAATAGGCCTTTGGGCTGAGAAGAAATAACATCTCTCCACTTCCAGCATATCCCCAAATGCCCCAACCTCCTCTATAGTTGGACAATAAAGTGGGGAGGGAATGGAACCAGTAGGACCAAGGGGCTTGACAAGTACAGCAGCAGACCCTGTCGTCTTGGGTTCACTGAAGCCCATGGGGCAGAGGTGCTGCTTCTTGGAGCCCCAGCCCATCAAAGAGAACTGCTCTTCAGGAAAGAAGTAGTTCTGGTTCCATGCTGTCTTGGGTTTGGAGTCTTCTGCCATCAAGGCTTCTGGTCTGGTATGAGGAAGGAAATAAAAATAAAACACTTCAATGTCAGGCTTCAGAGACAGGGGCAAATAATTTCACCCATAATTTACTCAAGGGGGAGGCCCACCCCCTCTCTCTATATATTCTTATTGCCTATCAGCCACCCCCACTGTCAGTGTCACTGCCCCTTTGCTAACCTCTACCTGTTTGAAAGGAAAAATAGGAAAAACTCATTAGTAATTTCTGCAGCTATTTGCAGCTCTTAGATAAAGGTCAAAAATAATGGTTGAAATGTTCCACAGCTATTTACTAATTCATACTATGCTGTCTCATAATTCATCACACAAAGAAACTCTGGCACACCAACATTCCTCATCCCAGATATTAATTTTACATGTAGGTTTTTAAGCTAATTACACAGATAAAAGAACACTGTTAGCTAACATAACACAGTGTTTACTATGTCCCAGAAGCTTTCCTATGCTGTGTGCATGTGGCAGGATGGGAGGCAGCGTAGATACGGATATCAAATTTAATGCTCAGGACAACCATTGTATAGGCATTATGAGGCATTAAGAGGTAAAGTAACTTTCCCAAGGTCACCAGACAGTAAATGTCAGGCCCATGATGTAGATCTACGTGACCTAACTCCAAAATCTGTGATTTTAGCTACTATGCTATATTCCCAAAGGGACAACTTGACTGCATATAAAACTGTGCATGTAAAGAATTTTCTGACTGAACTATATCTATGTTAGCAGAAAAAAGAGAACATTCTGGAGGGCATATGAACATATAAGATAGAGAATTCCTATCCATAAGAAAAATATTTAAGGCATATGTGAGCGTTCTGACTCAGAAAGTACTGGATTTAAAAAAAAAAAAAAAAAAGAATGTAGCCCTGGCCAGGTAGCTCAGTTTGTTGGGGCAGCATCCCCATATGACAAGGTTGCAGGTTCTATTCCCAGTCAGGGCACATGCAGGAGTCAACCAATGAATGCATATGTAAGTGGAACAACAGATAGATGTTTCTCTTTCTTCCCTTGCTATCTCTAAAATCAATCAATAAATAAAAATTTTTTAAATATGTGGCTGAACATCAATTATATTTTAATAAAACTGGAAAAAGTTAAAATATATTTTAAAAGGATGTGCTAATTAGAGACACAGTTCCCCAGAAAACAGAGCCCTGTGCACTATGTCCTAGGGTTCATTTCCTCAAAATCTCCATTAATAAGTCAGGGTTTACAGGAGATCTGAGAACACAATCTGAATTTTATAATGGACATTGAAGACAAAATCAGATTCCTTCTACACAGCACTAAAAGGAAATGCAAAGAGTCCATAAAGCAAGCTATACCAGCACCTGAAGCAGTGTTATTAGACTTAACTAACACTCAGTAATTCCATTAACCTGCTTCTAAACATACCCCAGAATTTCATAACTGAATAATATGTGGGTTACAGAGATAATCTGGGTTAATTTAGATTTAAAGTATTACATATGTACTTGCCCCTAACATTATTCTCCATTACAAAATCTTAAAGCCACTTCCTTCTGGTTAGAACCCTGTATTATCTGAGGATCTATAATAGGTTCTTCTTGAGGAGTCCAGAAATCCTGGGATGATATAGTGGGTATAGTGAGCCAGACTACCTGAGTTCCGGCTACCTGTGATGTTCTGCAATTTACCTGTGCCTCACTCTTCTCATCTAAAAAATGTAGGAGACTAATGGTATCTGTTTCATAGCTTTGTTGTGAAGATTAAATTTATCAGTATATGAAAGTTCTTAGAACAGTGCTTGGTACATGGCAAGCAAGCAAAAATATTAGGTATGTTGGGATTGATGCTGTTCCTTAAATTGCCATCACTCAAAGAAGCACCTTAGTTGACTTTTTGCAGCCACAAACCAGGGATGTACGCAAACAAATGCTTTCCCTGGCATTGCATAGTCATGTTTTTAAAAAATCTCTGGAACAAGTTACAAGATCTGTAACAATAGCAATTTCTTTTTCTCTGGCCAAGGTGCCAAGGTGAATGGACACATATAAAGGAAGCAGGACCAGGAAACTGATAAGGGTACTATAACTACTATACCCCATACATATTACCCTACAGGACATGGGAGGGCCTTGTCAAGGCCTGGCTTACTATAAGGACAAAATCTCTATGAGACTAAAATAGTGAAATAAGCATGGATATGAGAGTCATACAGATCTGGTTTTGAATCCTTGCTGCACAATTCTGACTTATTTGGTTTCTTATTTTGTTCAGCTTTAAGTTTGTCATCTGTCAAATGAGGATAATAATGGCCCTTAGGGCTGTTGGAAGGATTAAATGAAATAATGGATATAAAATAACTAGCAGTGTCTGGCACAGAGCAAATGCTTAATTCATGTTTATTCATTCATTTATTCTTTATTCTTTTTTTAGAATTTATATTTTATTTTTTATTGTTGTTCAACTACAATTATCCCCATTTTCCCTTCACCACTCTCCCCCACCCCGCCCACCTCTACCTTCCACACTCAATTCTAACCCTCTCCTTTGGCTTTGACCATGGGTCCTTTATACATGTTCCTTGATGACCCTTCCCCTTCTTTGACCAGTTATCCCTATCCCCCCTCCCCTCTGGTTACTGTCAGTTTATTTCAATGTCTTTCTTCTGAATATTAAGCACTTATTATGTGTTAGGTTACCTTCCCTTCTCCCTGCTGTGATAGATAACAATTATAGTCACTTTCCACAAAATGTATTCCAATTACAATAAGAATTCTTCCCAGATAGATGGACAGCTTAAGAAGCAGCCACTAGGCATCTGATAAGAGATTCTCACTATTTCAGGGAATCTGGCCCTGTAAGTGCTGTGTCACTTTCAGCTACAAAACCTTAACTAGCTCCAGATAGCCAAGTAACGGTTTTGCCTGTCAGTAAAAGACATGATAAGAAGGTGTTTCTAATAGCAACAAGTCTCAGGCAGGTTCTTTCAATAAAGGGATTTAAAGAAAGCACTTAGAGGATAGATACGTACCCCCAACCTTCACTCCCAGCAGAGAGTTGGTTGAGCTCTCTACTGGAGGACTGGCAGAGCTAAGAGCCAAAGCTCTTTTGCTTTGGAGCAAAGAAGACAACCATGCATTGTAGGGCACACATAAGAGCATTGGGACAGTGAAGAGAACAGACACTGGGAGTCCTGCAGCTAGATGACACTTCTGCTTTGGCCTCCCTGCCCAGGTAGCTCACTCTATCAGCTACCATGTATTGCCCACTGAAGCAAATGCAAAAAGATAGGTGAAACAAGGGTGGGGGTAGTGGAGAAAGTGGAAGAGGAAAACTATGTCCTTAGCCATTGTGAGGAATGATCAGGACATAAAACACCCAACCTCCGGAACACCTTTGATGCTGGGGTGTTTGGAAGAGTTTAAAAGTCCAGGCAGGTGCTAGAGTAAATGCAGGTCAGGTTGTGACCTGGCCTCTTGTTCTGAAGAACAAGTATAAGAAAAGGTAAAAAAGTACCTGAACCACACACCTGCAGGAAAAGCCTAGTATAGATAACAAGGCCTTCTGGTTCAGGGGCAAGAAACTGATGCATATCTTAAAGACAAACTGGAAAATAATAAATATATTTTGATAGTGGTATTTAGGGATAAGAACACGAATAACTACAGTTAACTGAGCACCTACTATGTGCTAAGCATGAGGCTATGTCCTCTATGTAGATTAACTTTATATTCACAACAACTACATGCAATAGGTATCATTATGCCCACTGTCCACATGAGAAAAACTGAGGCTGGGAACAGTCCATGTGAGGCTGGGAATATGAGAAAACTTGGGCTGGGAACAGTCCAAGGTCATGTAACCGGTACATGATGGAGGTTGAATTCACATTCATGCTGCCTGCCTCTTCAAGGACCTAATGACCTAATAAGCACTTACTTGGAGGGATCAGTGGTCTCCTGCTCTGATGTCCTCCAAAGCCCACCAATGCCATAATAGCAAGGTGGCTGAGCTTTCTCAGGTTGAGATCCCAAGTGGCCCCTTATTGGAGGCAGGAAATCACTGGAATGGTGAGCAAAAGACTCTTGCTCTGCTGGGAGGTTCTGTGTGCTCTGCCTTGAGACCTCCGGATGACCAAAGCCCAGAGGTTGTGGCTGCTCCAGGACTCTTTCAGTGTTGAGAGCACAGGAACCAATGGTTTCTGAACTGAAATACTGGGGTGGCAGCTCTTCCTCCTCTCTTCCCTCTTCTTCTTCCTCCTCTTCCTCTACCCCCTCCTCCTCTTGTCCTTCCTCCTCCTCCTCTTCTTCCTCCTCCTCTTTCTCCTCCTCTTGCTGCTGCTGTTGCTGTTGCTGCTTCTGTTGCTGCTGGGCTGCACGGAAGAGCCTGTACTTCTCCCAGTTGGGAGGAGGAGGACGAGGAGGAGGAAAGGCCTTCTTCTTGGTTCCCAGAGGATCTAGCTGGGGTTCATCAACTTTGCTAAGGAGCTCCCTCCTTTGCTGCACCCAGGCTTGGGAGCTCTGGGGCTCCAAGCTGATGTGGCTCTCTGAGAAGGCACGGCTACGCAGTGGGTGGGGCATGGAAGCCATAGAGCTCCCCTCTTCATAAACTGAAATTTCCTCTGTTTTTTTTGAAGAGTGCTTGAAATCTCCAAGGAGGTCAAGAGAAGAGATTGCTCGGTAGCTTGACAAATCCAGTGCTGGGTTCTCAAGGCAAGGATGAAAGGGGGTTGCCCATGAAAAGCCAGCCTTAGAATGAGACATTTCCCTGCAAAAGAGCAGATGGGGATTGTGTAAGACAAGCAAGTTGCAGATGATCCCATATTTTTGATATCATCTATGTAAAATTTAAAATGGGCACAAAATGATGTAATCTACGTAGTAAATGTAATAACAGTAATATATAATGTCTTAACATATTTAGTCCTCATAATAACCTTAGGAAGTTTCTATTATTATTGTCCTGACAGCTGGGGAAATTGAGGCATGGTCAGGTTAAGCAACTGTCTCAGGGTCATAAAGCTAGTTAGTGGCAGAGCTATCGTTTGAACCTGGACGATCTCTAAAGTCTGAATACACACACCACCTCAGTCTGTTTGTAGCACTCAGATTGAATGTGCTATATCCTTAGGCTTACAAGTCTGCTTATCTTGTTTCATCTGTTGTTTTGTTTTTAATTATGAAACATTCAAATATTTATAAACATACAGAGATTACTAAAAAATATTCACGTTCCCACCTGCTGCTCACAATAAGCACATCTTAACACTTTGCCATTCACTGATGCTTCATAAATTTTTAAGAAATAAAAAGTATTCTAGTTTCACTCCCCACTTCCATTCCCCTGTTGTTTCTCTAGATGCAGGCTATATCATAAATTTGATAGGTATGCATTCTGTCCATGTTCTGATACTTGTAAGAAAAAACATCAAGCAGAACATTTATAAATATCTGCTATTTGGGATTTAAAATATCTGCTTCTAATATAATTCCAGTCAGAATTCTTGATAGGAATTTTTAACTGTAGAATTATAAAATTAGCTTGTAAAGCAAAGCATGATATAATATCAAAGAGTACTTGCTACACAAGAAATGGGGTGTGAGTAAGGGGTTAAATATATTATAAAGAAATTACAGTGAAAAGAGTGCATTGTGATTGGTGGAACAGGATAGAAAGCCCAGAAACAAATGAAACTATTTAAACATCATATATAATTGATCTTCCATAACAAGGAGATAAAGAAAGATCATTTAATATATCTTTTTTTGATGCTCACTGGGGTGCATTTTTCATTGCTTTTAGAGAGAGAGAAAGAGAGACAAACATCAGTGTGAGAGAGAATATTGGTTGCTTCCCATAAGAGCCAGGACCAGGGATCATATGCACTGGCCAATGGGGACTGGACCTGCAACCTAGTATGTGCCCTGACCGTGGACTGAACCTCCAACATTTCAGTCACAGGTCAATGCTCCAACCAACTGAGCCATACAAGCCAGGCCTAATAAATCTTTTTGGAGATAACTGCAGAGCAATATTATTTGGAGCTGTACCATGACACACACACACACACACACACACACACACACACACACACTTCAAAATAAATTCCAGATTTAAGGGTGTATGTACATAAAATTTAAATATATATGGTGGGCTGGGATGGAAATATAAGACAGAAAACTGTACTTGAACAATAATTAAATAAATTTTAAAAATTAAAAAAATATATGTTATATGTGTGTATAATGTACCTATAAGAAAAAAACTATCAAAATTAAATTCAGTTATGAAGAGAAATAACATTCTCATCTTATAAGCAATAAAAGAAAATACCAAAGGGAAAGGAGTCCAGGTTTATTTCAAAATGTATAAAAATATTTATAAAAAGTCAAACTTTTATATGCATATTATGTATATATACATATTATATTTACATATAATAAAGAGTCACCAAAGTCAGAGGACATCTATTAAGCACATTAAGCCAAAAGATCTGGTTTCCTGCTGTAGCCTGTGAGCAGTAAACATCATTCTAAATACTGCCTAGTGGTAGGAAATTCCAGCAGTTCAATCAAATCATCAGACAGAATATCCATTCAATAGTCATGATAAATACTGGGAATATTTCTTTAATAATTTACATAATGGTAGCCAAGCTCAGATAGAATGGAATGCAAAAATATCCTTCACTCCCCTTATCTCCAGTCCCCACCCTAGCTAGTTCATCAGTCACATAGATCAAAAATTTATATCCATACATTCCTCACTCTCTTCTCATTTAGGCCTTATCCCACCTGCAACTTATTGAGATTAAAACAATCTCTTGTGTACAAACTGTTCCATCTGGTATTCCCCCCCCATGAAATAAACAAAAAACCAAGGTAGTAGGTAGAGAGGACTATCCTGACCTTATCTAAAATAAAGATGACATACTTAATTTTCCTTTTTTCTATTTTGTTCTTTCTCAGAGGATACATCATGACCTGAGATTCTGTTACATACTTATTTTTACTTGTTTATTCTGTGGTCCAATCTCTAACTATAATATAAGGTCCACACCTGCATGAATCTTGTGTGTTTCATTCATCTGGTATGTAGTGCCTAGCACACAATAGGCATTCAATGAGTACTTGTTTAATAAACAAACTAATGCTAAAATGGGGGGAAAAACAAGGGCCATGATATTCATATCATTAAAAAGTTGAATTAAAGGCAAAAAACAATAAAGACAAAAAAGGGCACTATAATATTAATAATTAGAATAGGTGATGAAGATCTAACTACTCTGCATCTTTACATACCAAATAACAGAGCATGAAAATTTCTAAAGTAAGTCAAGGGGATGTAAAGTAAAACATAGGGAATATAGTCAATAACATGTTAACAACTAGGTATGGTGCCAGGCGGGTACTAATCTTATCTGGGTATTTACTTCATAAGTGATATAAATATCTAATCACTATGTTGGACACCTGAAACTAATATAATAGCATGTCAACTATAACTGAAAAAAAGTACTGAAAATTTCCTAAAACAAAATCTATAGGAAATGCAAAGGTAGAAAAAAAGCAGAAACAAAATATGACATTGTTTCAGCTGATGACAGATTTCACAGTCAAAAACTAATGGAGCCCTAACTGGCATGGCTCAGTTGGCTGAGCGTCATTCTGCAAAGCAAAACGTCAATGGTTAGATTCCAGGTCAGGGCACATGCCTATGTTGTGAGCTGGTCCCCAGTAGGGGCACATGTGAGAGACAACTGATCTGTGTTTCTCTCACACATCAGTGTTTCTCTCCTTCTCTTCCCCCCCTTCCCTAAAGATAATAAATAATTTTTTAAAGTAATTTTATTTATTTTAAAAGTATTTATTACTTTAAAAGTAATTTTATTACTTTTTTAAAGTAATAAAAATTTTAAAAATACACTACTTTTTAAGGGCCCATGAACAATTTCAGAAATTGATTAACCTAATTATATATTAACCTAAAAAGTAGAGTAGTACAGAATACAGTATCTAATCATAATTTAATAACACTCTAACAACAAAAATAAAAAACAAAAAAATTCTACAATAAAAAATAAAAGGGAAACTGGGATGGGAGAAATAGACAAAAAACTGTACTTGAAAAATAACTAAATAAAATTAAAAAATAAATAAATAAATAAATAAATAAATAAAATACAAAAAAAAAGGGAAAATATTCTCTAGTCAAAGAGGAGATCTAGTTTGAAACTGTAGAATACCTTGGAAATAACAACAATGAAAATATAAGAAGCTGGAGCATATGGTTGATTAAAACAGTGGTAACAGGAAAAATTGTAGAACAACAAATTAAAATAAATGAATTAAGCATTTAACAAAAAAGGTTAAGAAAACAGGCACAAAAATAGACCTAAGCAAAGCAGAAAGAAAACTCATGGTACCAATCAATACACTGGAAAACAAATGATAGAACAAAAAATTAAAGCTGAAATCTAGTTCTTTACATGAAAATTAAAATAAGACAGATAGACCACTTGCTAATCTAATTAAAAACTCAAATGCAAAAAAATGGAAGAATGAAGATATCTAAACCCACCAGTTACCATAGAAAATATTGATAAATTTGACCAAAAATCAAAAGCACACTCACATGGTCTTGTGTTAATTCTAACCTTCAAGGAACAGACAACCCCAATGCTATTTATGCTTCCTAAACTCTGGAATCTAGAGAATAGAGGGATTAGAAAAGAATCCTCCACAGAGCTACTACCCTTTGCAACAACATGGATGGAACTGGAAAGCATTATGCTGAGTGAAATAGGCCAGGCATTGAAGGACAAATACCATATGATCTCACCTTTAACAGGAAGCTAAATAACAAAATAAACAAGCAAATAGAATAAAAACAAAGACACTAAAATAGAGAACAAGTGGGCAGCGACCAGAGGGGAGAGGGAAGGGAATTTAAGGGGAAAAACGAGGAGGGATTTTGAAGAACAAGTATGAAAGACACAGGGATGAGGTCTGTGGGGAGGGGGGGATGGGAGGGAGGTGGGGAGACGGGGCGGAGGGGGGGTTGGGATGGGAGAAATTGACAAAAGAAAACTGTACTTGAAAAATAACTCAATAAATTTTAAAAAAAAAGAATCCTCCACAATGTCAATACCAAAACCCATAAAGATACATAAAGGAAAACTAGGGACCATTCTCATATAAAAATACTAATGTATTTTTGCATTTAAAAACATAAATGTTAGGACATTAGTATATATAAGGAATTTATTAATAAACTCCAGCATATATTGAAGGGACATACTTAGAAAATTCTTTTGGAGAAGGGTGGATAATACAAAAGATTGGAAACCACTAGTTTGGGAGAGTCATTCCTAACCAAAGTGGCTCCTACTCAGAATTACCTGGAGAAATTGTTTAAAATGAAATTCATGGCTCTCAGCCCCAGAAACTGGAAGTTAGTACTTCTGGTGGGGTCCAGGAATGCATAGGTTTTTAACAATTGGCCCAAGGGATTCTAATACAAGTGGCTCAGGAGCCATACTATGGAAATAAAGGGCCAAGATAAAAAGAATATATGAGTGTTGTGGTTTAGGGAACTAGGTTTGAAGACAGAGTTATTTGTTCCAGTTAGATTAGTTTTCAGTCTCTACAGCCTTTCTTCTACCCCTTGCCACACACATTCCTACCTTCTATCCCTGCCTTTTTCCCCCTTTCTCATCTTCATTTGCAATCTCCATGTGATAAAATGCAGGCAGTGACAGCAACATC